TATCTTATTCTACAATGTAAAATTATTCGCTCTTCATAAAGAAAGATAAAAAAGAGTGAAAATAAGATGATTTCCAATTATTAATACACAAATTTTGGAAAAATACTAGTTTACAAATAAAAAGGAAATTATATGAACCAAAGCGAAAAAGGAAAAAGAGATCCTAAGTAATTGTGGAAACTGCAAAAAATGAAATTCTATAAAACAGGTTCTGTCTGAATCTTCCTCTCCTCTCAGTTTCCCCAAAATCCCTAAAAGCTTCGACATTAATCGTCTAACGAGAATCAGTCCTTCCGCAAATCAATCAATGAAAGGAAGATGTGCGATTTCGGATTCGTGCGACAATGAACAGAGGAAGAAGAAGACGAAGCTATCTCCGTCGTCTGGGTTATGCTCGTTGCCAGATGAGTTGGTTTTGAACTGCCTGGCTCAGATCTCGAGATTCGACCTAGCCGCATTAGCCATCGCCTCAAAGAGCCACCGTTCTCTGGTAGATTCCCCTGAGCTCTCTGACTTGAGACACAGTAATGGTTTTTGCACCGAGTCATGTCTCTACCTATGCTTGCGCATCATTCCTGAGCCAGCCCCACGCTGGTTCATCCTCACACCTTACCATCGTCTGTACCCGATCCCTTCGAACCCCAATCAGGCTCCGGAAGCATCCTCTTTCGTGGTGGTGGATCAGGGGATCTATGTATTCGGTGGACTCATAAACGGCAGTCGCACTTCCGATGTCTGGTTCCTCGATTGTTTCTCTCCGACACGGCGCATGTCTCACACATGGCGACGCGCACCGTCCATGACGATGGCTCGTGCTAGTGCATGTGCAAGCCTTTTAGATGGGAAGATATATGTGTTTGGAGGGTGTGCAGAGTACGCTGATTCCTCAAACTGGGCAGAGATATTCGATCTAAAGACACAAACTTGGGGTCACTGGTATATCCCCAAGATGCGTTATGATATTCATCAGAGTGTGGTGGTTGAAGAGGAGAAGACGGTTTACGCGGTGGATGTGGAACGTCGAACCTTCTACCTTGTGCCAAGTAAGTCTATGTTTTGGGGAGTGGGTCGTACAGAATCTAAGTTTGGAAGCAGAAACGATTGGTGTGCTATAGGGAACCTTTTGTACTGTCGTAATACTCCCGGGAGAGTAATGTGGTGTGAGGCAGGTGCGTTTGATTGGAGGGAGGTGGAGGGTTTGGAAGAGCTGCAAGTTGCGTGGAGACAAATCCTCTATGATCTTAATCCTGGCTCGACCAAGGTCGAATTTGATATCATCCGACTTTGCAGCAACTCTGCTGGGAACATTGTCATCTTCTGGAATGCATATCGTGAACATCCTGAGGCTTTAGAGCTTTGGTCTGCCGAGCTTTCCATGGAGAAACGCCAGGGAGGCGAGATTTGGGCAAAGATTGAATGGTCACGTCCTCTCTACAAACTTGATCTTCACTCACACCCTAACCAACATGCCGGCCTTAAGGTCTTATATTCTGCTTCTGTCCTTGTCTGAATTTCTAATCTTATCAATCTTTCTATTTAAAGTTTCAACTATTGTCTCTATCATTTGCGCAGTGAATCACATTGCGGGGTGTAA